TGTCAGTACACTCACAATTCTAGAAGGAAACAATGAGGATCAGAGTAATGATATTTTTTCCAATAAATACTCATGGCAAAGATCCAGTTCTGCCTAAGTTTTCACAACACTTTCAATGTTTTCTCAGAAAGATACTGTATGCCCAATTTACAAATGTTCTATTCTATAGTTCTTATGTGGTTGTCAAAAGTTAGCTAATTAATACAAGACACTATAAAAATGTGAAAAAATCTGCAAGAAATACATGCCATTGAGAGTGGAGAAATAATTTATAATGGGGGAAGGTGAGGTGGGAAAGGCCTCAGTCTCCAGCAAAGGGTCGCAGTCCATTGGATCATGGAGCAAGAGTGTATAGGTGGGCCCAGATACAGGAGAGGTCACTGCTGGCACAGGGAGGAAGGCAAGTTGGGTTGCCATAATAACAATACAAATTATAGCAGAGTTAGCTTAAAAGGTTTTCTTGCATTAATGGGTCCCCACACTTCATTAGGAGGAATGTGGTAACCAGAATATACCAACTGAGGTAGGCAATGATCTGTCAGTAATTAGGAGCCATCTGTGCTGTCATGTTTGCAGTTAGTGTAGCATGAGCGTCATGTTGCATTCTCTTGTCCTTTTGCCTAATCAGAAACTGCAGTCAACTATACCTATGAATTTCTCATAGGTATATGCTCCCTCTTCCATTGCAATCAGTACTAGTCAGCTTTCTGTTGAGAAAGCTGGAGACTACTATCCCCCATACATGTCAAAAATAAAACAGTAGTATAATTCAGTATGATATTAAAGACTGAAAACCAGGAATACTGGTGGTATATGTTCTAATCTCTGGACTTGAGGAGATAAGATATTGTGCATCAATTGGGCAGCAGAAAAGAAAAAAAAGTGTGAATTCCTCCTTCTGATTTGGCTCCCCTCAGATCCCCAATAGATTGAATGATGCCCACCCCACATTTGAGAGGACCACCTGCTTTACTTAGTCTACTGAGTCAAATGTTAATATCACCTAGAACCATACTCAGAAACACAGAAATAATGTTTAATCTGTGTGTTTTAAGACCGAGCTGGTTTATCCACATAATTAATCCCTCCAGACTTTTGGGAGTGAGCCCTTCGCAAACCCTCCATTGAATTGAGTGCTATCTTAAGCATCACCCAACCCTTCTCTGCATAACATTCACTTTTCTAATAAAAATAATCCACTAAGGATATTCTAAAGAACACGTGTAAATATACATCCCAGTTGCTACATACACTTCCTCTTCACTCTTGTCTGTAATCATGTTTCCCTAAGACAAAGTTCCAGAAGCTTAACATGCTCTAAAAATGATATGATTGAGACTCTGTTGGGTTTAATTTTCAATTACTTGCTGTAGCTACCTTTCCAGGTCCTTGAATATACCCCATATCTTCCTGCCTCTACCCTTTGCAAAAGATTTTCTTCTTGTTTCAGATTATACTTATACTTAATTTGTGTGTGTATGTATGTGTTTTTATATATATATTGCTATTGAGGCTTAAATTCAGGGCTGTCTTTTATCTTTTCCATTCAAGGCTGGAACTCTACCACTTGAGCACAGCTCTCTTTCTGGGAACTACAGTTCTCAGATCTCAGCCTCTTGAGTAGCTAGGATAACAAGCCTGAGACTCGAGCACTATGCTTTATGCTTACTCTTTTTTTCATACGTTTTTTATTGTAAAAGTACTGTACAGAGGGGTTACAGTTACATGAGTACGTTTCCTATCGAGCATTGTTGCCTCCTCCATTGGTTTTCTTGTACCATCCTTTCCCTTTCACCTCCACAACTCCACCCCCCAAAACCTCGCTTAAATTATAACGTTTATTTTTCAACATATTGTCTTGTACATCTCATTGTTAACAATGGGTAAACCTATATCCCTATTTAAGCATTCTGTTTTTTTCCCTTCCCCTCCCCAAGCTAGAGAAGTGTATATACAAGATGCAGGGCACCGACATCAAATACAGTTGAATTAGGTACTACTGTTCTGTAAAATTCAATGGTCGTTGTCACTTTCCAAAGGAAGCCTTCTATAATCTTTCAGAGTAAAATTGGATTTCTCTTGTATATGGCCCCACTCTTCTCCTTCACTACAGTGATTGAATTGGAGTTTCTGCTGCCTTCAGATGGAAGGGCCTCCTTGGGGAAGATCCATGTAAAGTACTTTTTTCTCTATTGACACCAACTTGGCTGTTTTGTTTCAAGGGCCTGAGCATCCATGACAGGCCATTAATAAAGCTTTCTTGAGTCAGATTGGGGGGGTAATATCTGTTTGTTGTTTATGGTACTCAACCAAGTGTTTTTATGGCAGTGAGGCTCACTGCAAGATGGTCTGTAAAGAAATCATCAAGGGATTCAAAGTCCTATGCTCCAAGGTCACACTCAAACTCTGTTTTCTGAGAAGAGAAGTAAGATGGGAACTTTTAGAGATATCACAGGAAAGGTTTTTGTGTATCCTCAGAGAAATGATTAGCATTTAGTCATACCATTTGTGAAAGACAGTAAGGAGAGGCTACTACCATAGAGTTATACTTTGACAGGGGACAGAGACTGGGCTAAGCTTTGCATATGACAAAGAAAAATGGGGACTTATAGTTAAGGAGCCAGTGGAGCTCAGAGGATGAAGACTATTAGAGGAAGGCTTACTCTGCTAATCTAGTCCCTCAGGATCCTGGTGGTTAGAAAAAATGTGTCACAACGTGTCACAATGTCTTCTTGTAATTTTTGTTAAAATTGGAACAACTAGGCCAAGAACAGAGCCCAATGTGGAGTCTAACCAAAAGAGAACTCAGAAAATGCCTACTACAGTGAATTAAGGAGAACATATCTGCTAGAAGGAAAGCAGACTCTGTTTTGGAGTCCCTAAAGAAAAAGATCCTTTTACATCTTTGTCACAGTACATGCAGGCATCCATAAGAGGGAAGGGCATTGGTATGGCATGGTTGTGATTTGAGATAGTCCATGACTGTTGTAGAATTTATCACAGAGCCTAATGGGAGTGATTTGGACGTTGAGGTTAATGCTGGTCTTACATACTATGCTAGTTCCCTCAAGACTGAATCATTATGAAGCAAGTCCCTCAGACGTGTTTGATGCTCTCCACATGTACCTGGCTCTCTTTTTGCTTCTTCCCATGCTGTTGACTCCATCAAGGAGTGCCACCAAATCTTAGACAGTGAGGACAACCCAGGCTTAGATTTTCAACCTCCAAACTTCTAAGCTACTTAAACTTTTGTTTATTTATGAAGTATTCCGCATCAGGCATTTTCTTTTCACAACATAGAACAGATTAAGTCAGGCATATATGAGAATGAAGGCTTAAGAGATTAAGAATTGCTCTTCCTGGAACAAAAAAAAAAAAGGAGGGCCACTCCAGGGAATGGTGGCAGTTTTTGCCGTGGTGGATCCTCTCTGTAATCTTCAGCAGAAGCTTGGGTCAGATGCTGGAGGCTACCATTAATAGCCAGGACTGCTCAGTGAAATCACGAAAGACATAGCAGACACTACTAGTGTGGAACTTTTCTTTTTGGCAGTGGAAAACTCTATAAATCACATACAACATGAAGAAGAAAAAGACTCCTGCCACTTACTTTCGATCACACCTAGGAGCCCAGTGCCACTTTATTATCTTGATGATTCACAGCGCACATCACCTTACCATGGCCCACCTTATTCCAACTAGATTAGAGTCATAGTGCTTATTTCATGACTACAGAATACAAAGGATTAGGATTATATGCATGCATATAATTTATCAACCCCAGTGTTTATCATGGTTTTACAATGCTTGAAAAATCTGTACAGGTTTTTGAAATCTAGAATGAAATAAATGTACATTGGAGAAAAGGGTTCAGGCTGTGGTTCACGTGGTAAGCACTCATTCTTTGACAGGGAAGATAATGAATGAGCCTATGAGTATTTGGACAACTTTACATGGGAGAGCTCACTGTATTCTGGTGATTAGCTTTTAAATTCTAAAGGACACGCATGAGAAGATATGGTTGGCTATGGCTTGCAAAATATAAGCAACAAAGTGGTTTCATAATATAACATCTACTCACATCTTGTGTAATATTCTAGCCTTTCTTCTTCCTCAGCTACTATTAATTAACTTAATTAACTTCGAGTTTTTTTAATTCAGAAGCTTAATCTACCATTCTCAATAACCATGAATACATTTCTCCTTATTTAGGGAAAGAATATTAATTTTACTCTTTTCCTGGCTCTGACACAACATACTTAATATTTTCCTAGTTCAGCCCTGCTACCTGTTCCCTATCCATATTACAAACCTCATTAAAAGTGAGGCAAATATCACTTTAGCATGCTGTCATTTGACTGGAAACTATTGAAAGAGTATCAGAGGACTTTCTCACTCTGCTTCAACTAGCATTTCTAGACCTTCTTCATGGTCCAGCTCTTTCTGGCATACTCATACCCAGATCTTTGCACATATCATACATTCTTGCTGAAAATGTTAGCCAGAGCATATACTTCCTCTCCTCCTTCCATTTTTCCTGTGAAACCTTTTTTACCTACTTTTTCTTTGAGCCAAGATCCCTTGGGAGCTAGTATCTACCTTTCTTTTAGCATATTTCATGTTATAATATTTTCCATATGTATCTCTTTAAATGCACTCCAATGGCTTGGCATCAAATTGACTCACTATATGGACTTATTCATTTAGTAGATGAAATTGTTTTTATATCTTTGTTTCCTTGGGAAATGTTGATTTGTGCCTTCCATTCTTGGAGTCTCAGATGGCCATCTTTACAGATAGCACTATGATCCTTAAACCAGGAACAGAAAGCAATCTTCTGAGTGTATCGTAGCACAGATGATGTATTTTTTTCCCTTTAATATCTTGCAGCTGAATGTGGAATGATCCTGAAATTAAGGTCAGCTCCAGTTGGTTGTTTATATCAGCTGTCAGAATGCAGAATAAAAATGGCTTTTATATGTTTGATTTTTATTGTTTTCCAGGGCAATGTCACTTTTTCCTGCTCTGAACCACAAATTGTTCCCATCACATTTGTCAACTCCAGCAGCAGTTATTTGCTGCTGCCCGGAACCCCCCAAATTGATGGGCTCTCAGTGAGTTTCCAGTTTCGAACATGGAACAAGGATGGTCTGCTTCTGTCCACAGAGCTGTCTGAAGGCTCGGGAACCCTGCTGCTGAGCCTGGAGGGTGGCATCCTGAGACTGGCGATTCAGAAAACGACACAACACGTAGCTGAAATTCTCACAGGTACTGTCTATTGAGGTTTCCTTCCTTTTCCCTCTTTCTGTTCTCTTCCCCTTCCTTTTCCCATTCTCTTTCCCCTTCCCCTCTCTCCCTCCTTTCTTCCTTCCCACTGTCCATCCTTCCTTTCCTTCGTTTTCTTCTTTTTTTCAAAGAAGGTTTTCTTGTTCAGTTAACTAAACTTGGATTGATGTTCTGACAATGCACCATAATCCAGCCCCCAGAAAGGTGAGATGGCATGGTTTGTGCATTTACTCTGAAAAAGAAAGAACTATGAAGTTGTTAGGTTTATTTATTGTTTTAATATTTTAATATCTTTAAGTGTACACAGGAGATGTTATTCAATAAAACTATTTATTAGTACAGTGCATCGTGATCAATGCCATACCTTTTCAATATTCTCACCCATATCTCCCAACTACCCTTTCCCTCAATTTTCTTAATTTTGTAGAATATACAGTTTTTATTTTTATTTTATTTTCTTTCCCTTCTCTTCATTCCTCTGTCCCTTAACCCCATCATACTCCATTTCAAGTATGTGTTTCCTTAGTTGAAGTATGATTTTTACCTTTCTAAGGAATTGAACTGCTTTTATTCTCTTCTTGAATCTAACAAATTTCAGTTAGTACATTTCTGTATACTTGCATACCACCCAAAGTTATTACTATTTTCCAATTAGGAAAAAGATAAGATAAAACAGTGAATTCAGATTTAGTGCTGTATACTTTGTCCAATTCTTTATTGCCCTATTTCCTCAACAAGCGCATTAGTGATTAGAATTCTTACCCAGGACCATTTAGCATATGTAGCAGTCTATAGAGTACTCTACTAGGTCTTCTACAGAAAACTAATATATATATTATTTATAATCATTATCATAGTCTCTTAAAGAATGGATTATATCCCACTTTACAACTGTGGCAAATGGGTTTCTAAAAACACATCTTCAGAAGTAAATTATTTGGAATTTCATTTGGAACCTTTCTGATGTTCAAATCTACATTTCTTTTCTTAATTTGCATTGTCATGAGGATTTTGTAGAGTCTCCACATTTTATTTCAAGTAAAAAAAATAGAAAAAAATGTTAAAATCTTGTATTTTTAAAACCTTGTGTTTATTATTAGTATGTACGACATCTGAGTAAGAAAAACATTTCTAAATCATCCTTGCACAGCTGAAGTGTGGGATACAATAGTTTATTTCAATAGAGTATTGTCTTTAATGTATAGTAATATTGGAGAGATCTGTAAATGATGTTTTTCAACAATCTGAATCTTCCAAATAGGTTTCTTGAATATGGAACAGTAGAATTTTCTCACTCCTTTGCCATTGGCTATCCTATAAATGTCATAGTCTCTTAAGGATCAGTGTGTTTCCTTAGTTAACAAAGACTGAATGAGGTCAGACTACCTGCCAGTCATTGGGCTGATGTCTAAGGCACACATCCCCTGAGAAATCTCCTTGGACAAATAATACAGAGCTCCCTCCTCTGTGCATACTGGGTGATGTCCACCAGTATTGTACAATAATGCATTTATCTTTCATTTAAAAGGTATTCTCTTCTTTGGATTGTCAGTTTTATAATTCAAATGAAGTTTTATAATGCAAATGAAGTAGAAAAAAATTGAGGTACATATTAAAGAATGACTGAACAGTCAAGGTCTAGTCAGGCCAAGGAGATCCTCAAATGCTTTAAGAGAATCAAAAAGTTCTCAGAGCCCTTGAACTTGGCAAAGGCCTTGCTCTCCGAGTCAAAAAGATGTTTAAAGTACTTCACCTCCAGTGACTCTGGAGAATCTTCACTTTGTTTCGAATGGAAATGGAAATATACTTGTCAACTCTAGTTGAGTAACAAGTTACATGAAGACTTGGCAAATAATAATTATTATAATTTAGTTTCTATAGGTCAGGATCATAGGAGCAGGGAAATTAGGTGATTTTGGTTAGGATCTCATAAACCTGTAGCCATCATGGGGTCCATTGGGGGTGAAGATCTGCCAAGGTTACACCAATGGATGTTGATATTCACTGCTAAGCTTATATAGTTTCATGGACCTAACCATTGTCTTCTAAGAAAAAGTGGGAGAGACAGTACCCGAAGGAGAAACTATAGTCTCTGTAAAATAATGAAAATGGTATATCATCAATTCTACCTTATTCCACTCTTTTGACTTCCAGTAATTAGAAGTAAAGAAATCAACCCAATCCCTACTCAAGGGGATGAACTACAAAGGTATGATTATTAGGAGACCTTGATCCCTGAAGGTCAGTGAGAGGCAGCTTATTACATGACAATGATGGCCACTAAGAAAAATAATACATCTCAAGTATTTAGTAAATCTTTGAGATGCTATTTAACAAATCCACTTTCCTTTCATTGTGAGCCAGAACCTATAACTAAAAGGGGCCTCATCCATAGAGTTATAAAAACTAGGAGTGACTTTTTGCAGTCAGATGAATTTTATTTATCTTTTTGTTGGTCATGGGGCTTGAACTCTGGATCTGAGTGCTGTCCCTTAGCTCTTCAGTTCATGGCTAGCACTTTACCACTTGAGCTACAGCACCACTTCCAGTTTTCTGATGGTTATTGGAGAGAAGAGTTTCATGGACTTTCCTGCCCAGGATGGCTTTGAACCTTGATCCTCAGATCTCAGCCTCCTGAGTAGCTAGGATTACAGGCATGAGCCACCTGCGCCCGGCTTCAGTCAGATGAATTTTATAAAATGTATTTAATTTCTAGTAATAGAGGTGAGTTAATCACTTAGAAGAGTAATATTTTTCATGTTCAGAGTTATAAAAGTTAAATCCTAATCTTCTTTATGTGAGCTGTTTCTCTTAATCGGTAAGATGTTTGAGTATGGAAACTTGTTGGCCTCGGGTAAAAAATGCAGTTTTAATATAGTACAGGCCCTGGCGGCATTGTGCTGAAAAAATCCAGGTGATGCCCGTATTATTAAGCACATGTCAGTCCATTAAAACACATTTATGATTGAGAAAGAGGTGAGCAAGGGCTGCTATGTTACCCAGATCTGAAAAGGGAAAATAAATTGTCAGTGATTCCAGACCTGTCTCTCAAATAGTAAACAAGTGAAAACATTAAGTCTAGTTCCTAAATGCTGTCTCGGAAAATTCTTGCTTAATTCTTTCCCTAAGAGGAATTTTCTTAATATGGATTTCATGACACTTGATTTTCAAATGGATAAAGATCTTGTATTTTCTGGCATTCTCCTGCTGAGGAAGTGGGAAACAAATATAGAAGTCCATTTCCTCCTTTATTTTGAGAATAGTTGATGTCATATTGGCAGATGAGAGATGAAGCAGTATAAATCAATGAAAAAATAATGAAAAATTTTATCAATAATCTGTAAGGGCCAATAGAGCTACCCTTAATACATGATAGTCACCTAAAACAGAATACAAGACCACATTTAATTAATAGTGCAAGGAACTCACATATTCAAAGATTTGCTTGTGTTTGGCTCATGTGTTTCTAACACCTTGAAACTTAAGGAAAAGTTGATTGGGAATTAATGAATACGTACTCTAGACCACTGTTTTTGTTACTGGGACTTCCCGTAGTGTATGTGGCTTAGAGTTGAGGTCTGCTTGGTATTTTTTAAATACATTTTTTATTATAAAAATACTGTACAGAGGGGTTACAGTCACATGAGCAAGGTAATGAGTACATTTCCTATCAAGCATTGTTACCTCCTCCTTTGTTTTTTTTTTCCCTACCGTCCCTTCCTTCCCACCTCCACAACTACACTCTCCCCCAACCGTCTAAATTGTAAAGTTCATTTTTCAACATAGTGTCTTGTACATCTCATTGTTACAATGGGTCAACCTGTATCATTATTTAAGCATTTTTTTCCCTTCCCCTCCCCAAGCTAGAGAAGTATATATACAAGATGCAGGGCACCAACATCAAATACAGTGAAAACAAGGGTTATACCATGGGGGAAGAACATACAAGGAAACAAAAAAAAATCACATGATGCATTATAAATACATTTAAAAAATAGCAAGAAAGGAAAAACCACTTGTGTCCCTATTTTGGGGTTCATTTCGTTTAACATCATCTTATCTGTTCATGTGTACATAGCTTTTGACCTTTTCTGCTCATCCCAGACATATACTAGTTATTTCAAATAAGGGAAACAATGGGACCTATGTTTCTTTGGGCCTGGCTTACTTCACTTAATATATATTTTTTCCAAGTCTTTCCATATCCTAACAGATGGGGCAATGTCATTCTTTCTGATGGAGGCATAGAATTCCATTGTGTATATATTCCACATTTTCTTGATCCATTCATCTACTGAGGGGCATCTGGGTTGGTTCCATATCTTAGCTGTGGTAAATAATGCTGCAATAAACAAACATAGTTGTGCTTGTACCTTTAATATGGTCTTGTTTGTGATCATTTGGCTAAATGCCCCAAAGTGGGATTGCTGGGTCATAGGGGAGCTCTATGTGGAGTCTTTTGAGGAACTTCCATAGTACTTTCCAAAGTGCTGAAAAAGTTTACACTCCCACCAACAATGCAGTAGGGTTCCCTTGTGTCCACATCCCCTCCAGCATCTGTTGTTTTTAGAGTTCTTGATTCTAGCCATTCTAACTGGGGTGAGGTGGAATCTCAATATTGCTTTCTTTTATGGCTAGAGAGGTTGAGCATTTCTTCATGTGTCTATTGCCCATGTTTTCTGTTTCATTTCTTAAAAGTTTTATACCTGGTATAAGAGAAAAGATGGAGGATATTATTTCCTTATAAGTGAAATTAATATCTATTATAGTCCTGCTACTCATCAGGCTCTAGGCCAGAAACTTATTATAGAGTACAATGGAGAAAAACCAAACAAACATACAGAACTTTATGTGATGACAATTACACTATCACACACATAAATGAATTTCCAATTAGCAGCAAAGTTAAGAGGATTAAAATGGCATTTGACCTAGGGTCTTTCCTGTGCATTCTCAATTCATTTTCACCATATATTTATATA